TTAACATATTAAAAAAATCTCGAAACTATTTGTAACCCACTGTAGTACACATTAAACGTCAGATCTTTTCACATCTAATAGGAGAAAACTGTAAGCAACGAAATGCAAAGGTTTATATACTAGCATTCATATTTCTGCAGATAATGAAGATGTAGTACAATTAATTGGTACAAAAATCTATGTCTAGTCATTAAATGGTTCGAAATATTGTACGAAGTGAGCATGACAAAGAGGTGAGGGAAACTACTGTTTCCTTCATAAGATTGATTGTCATAGATAATTGATTCGTTCCCGATCGGAAGTAACCCATTCTCTTATGAATACATCGGAACAGAAAATTAGAATTCGCGCGCGACAGTTATACCTATCTGATATATTGTAAACTAGTTTCTGTTTCTAAGAAAAATCGTGGCAATCAACCCTATCAACAAAAACTTCAAGGAAACTCAAACACTATTGGAAAACAAGAAGACTAATCTTCTCCATCAAAAGTCATCCCGTGCGTAGCTCGACATGAGATGGACTCTGCTGAATAAGTAACGGTGCTTTCTTTTACTTTTGGGTGATAGCTTCGAGTGATCGATCTTTTTTGCTTATTAGTTATAATATTAAAAAACAATTTAAAACTAGTTTGTTAAGAAAAATATATAATCGAATACATTTTAGATCAAAAAATGTTGTGATTAGATTGAAAGAAGATTATAAATACACAGTCATACACGTCTCTGCTTAGACTGATCTGAATATTGGTGTCTATTTCGTCAAGTATCTATCTATAAAGCATTGGAATATGGTTTATTACTAAGACTAAAAATTGCATCTTCTCAACATTTATCAGTTGATTTTTGCTCGTTTTCTATTCTGATCATACTTTTCTGCACGTTTTTGGAAAGTAAAACAAATACATAAATAAATTCTAGAATAGAATATTATGATCAAATGATTGGTGGATTTGTAAGTCGTACGTAAAACAAGGATTATTAGCTAAGTATTAATATTAATATACATAAAAACTTCATATAAAAGTAATCTTTCACTTATGTTACTTTCACTTTACATACGATTCCAAAGTACAACAGTATACACTCCTGCGTTGATTATTCAAACATGTAACTACAACTGAACAAATCATTCATTAATATGAAATATCATGATGCATATCTTTGTTATACAACCTGTCGTCAATGAAGCGTGACAGACCATGTATCGGTGATTATCATGTGTCATTGTGTACGCATCGCCATGTGATACTAAATTTTGTCCTGATAAAAATAATCTATTGACCTACTTTTACTTTCTGTGTTGTCATAACAATAATCGTAATCAATGAAAGATTGTTTATTGTACATGTGGCTATATAATTTATAGTTGACTCGATATAATTAGACCATGTTGTTTCGGCAATAAAAATCTTTTATTTATGTATCCATTCCAAAAAAAATGATAATACGTTAAAGGAGTTAAATCAGCTGTAAACAAATGCAAAAATCAGTGAAGTCTATTTTCTTTTTGTAAGAAAAACAAACTATAATTAAAGTGAGACTAAAATTGGTAGAAAAACAGATTACGAACAAAAAAGTCATATTTAATAGCGTTTAACCCAAAACTAACGATGAGAAGTTCAATTTAGTTTTTTATATTTCAACATCAATTTTGCAGAATTTTCAGATTTCGTGCAGTTTTAGATAGTGTTTTGATTTGATATTTTTTGTACACTTGAGATGTATAGGTATTTGGTTTATTAAACATGTTATTGAAAAAATGACGCTCAATATATGAAAAACAAATCAATGTACTAAAAATTTATTGTATTCAGATCTTGATGTCACAAAATGTTTTAACTTAATGTGAGAATGTAACTTCTCAATATCTCATACGTTTGTTTTTTATTGATAGTTTCAACTAGTAGTTAGTAGCAAAGATATGAAAGATAAAAGGATGCCTTCACACAAATGTTTGTTATTTCTCTTATTTGGACCACACCTTGATAGTAATAATGTCGCCATTAAATTTATATTCTTTTACAATATTAATATTTGCCATTTGTTCGGTCGGTACTGCATATGATGTTGTGGTTTATGGAGCAACACCTGGTGGTATTGCTGCAGCAATTACAGCAGCTCGAATATCATCTTCGTTTTCGATTGCTATTATTGAACCCACATCTTACATAGGTGGCATGTCAACAGCTGGTGGTATTGGTTTACGAGATCTTGGCTTAGAAATTACTAGTAAGTTAATCATTGTGATCTTTTTTTTTTTAAATTTATTTTCATTTGATTGTGTTTAGTTTTGGGTTCTGTCGCACAAGACTGGGTATATAATAATTATAAGTATTACAAAAATATAACGAATCCTATTTATCAACCTGATATGAATGTCAGTCATCAAAGTTTTCTTGATTTACTTTCTATGTATCCCAATATTCAATTAATCACAAGAACGGGACCATTGATTGATGAAAGCATACAAATGAATGGTACACGTATTGTTCAAGTAACTACAGCTGATGATCGACGTACATGGAAAGCATCTGTATGGATTGATGCTAGTTATGAAGGTGATCTTGTTCGCTATTCAGGTGCTTCTTACACATGGGGTAGAGAATCACGTGATCAATATAATGAATCATATGCTGGCGTACAACCTTACACTACATTTGCTAATTTCATACCTAATTATCCTGTTAATGCTACATTAGACAATGGAACATTGGCTCCATACATTTCACCTGATAAATTAGGTCCCATAGGTTCTGCTGATCTGAATATGATGGGATATTCATATCGTTTATGTATAACACCAAACAAAGAGAAACAAGCACCATTTGTTAAACCGACAAATTATAATCCGAATAATTTTGTTATTTTACAACGATATATAGATTCATTAATGGCTTCAGGAAAATATCCAACAGGACCTCCATTTGATAAACTTGTTGATATATTGATTTATCGAGGTTATCCATCTGGTGATAAATTTGATATGTGTGATAGTTTTGGAAGTGCATTTACAAGTGATGCAATTAATTTAAATCGAAATTATGTTAATGGTACAACACAAGATCGTCTTCATATTGCACAAATTGTTTCGGACTATGTACTTGGTATGCTTTGGTACATTCTTACTTCTCCATTGGTGCCAGAATTGACACGAAATTCATTACAAAAGTATGGTTTATGTAATGATCAATGGCCAGAAAATAAACATATACCACCACAATTGTATGTTCGTGAAGGACTTCGTTTAATAAATGAAAATGTTTTTACACAAAATCATGTTGTAAGTGGTCTGTGTCGAAATGACACAATAGCATTAGGTAGTTGGAGTCATGATATACATGTTGTCACACGAACAGCAAATGGATCTTATGTTAATAATGAAGGAGCAATGTTTAAGTCAATAGCTTATGTAAATGGTTCTAAAAGTGGAAAAGCATTTGAAATACCTTATTCGATATTATTACCAAAAAGAAATGAAGTTACAAATTTACTTGTACCTGTTTGTCATGCAGCGTCTCATGTTGCTTACGGAGCTACTCGAGTTGAACCACATTTTATGTTATTAGGTGGTGCTGCTGGATATGCAGCTGCTTATTCAATATTAAATGCTAATATTGATATACAAGCAGTTAATATTAGTCTTATACAAGAAACACTATTACGAGATGGAGTACTTTTACATTATCCCGTCGGTCATTGTGATTGATGAAGTATTGAAATAAATATCTATTTGCTTTTTTTCGGGCAGAAAAATTTCATAAGAAATTCGAGATATTTTTTAGACTATGAAGTTTTTTTTAATTATAAAGAAAAACAAAAAATGATTATTTCTTATGAAAAATTTTTATCGATATAAATTAATTCATTTATAAACATATAACGACTTGCAATTAAATATATATATCTATCCCAACTATGTTGACTTCTATGGCTTGCAAATGCATTTCGAGACATAATATAATCACTAGGTGTATTAATAAGAAGTATACGTGATAAATCTGGTGATGATATTAAATTACATGGAATTGAATATGACAGCAATGAACGTAAAAAACGCGGAATAAATGAAATAAATATTAAATAAAAATCAAATAATGATGAATATTTACGAAGAATAGATACAGATTTTAATTCATAAGACATTTTAATCATTGTATTATTATTAGTAGTATTTTTTGTTAATAGACGAACGGCAGACGCTACTGCACGATGATTTATATGACCTGATATACCTTTGCTATCAAAAGAAACAAGTATATCAATAGACCATTTATCAATATATTCGTTTATCAAAGGAATTAATTGCTGTTCAGACCACCAAACTTTTGGATTATCTTGTATGTTAGGTAAATCTAATGATATACAACGCTCTTTCGGTATATTTAATGCTTGACATGAACCAAATAATTCAATAGCACGTATATAACCTAAACCGGCATGATTACCACGTGAAAAAACTAATAAACTTAAATTAACATGATATTGTTTTTGTAAAACATGTATTGTTGGTGAAAAAAATAAACATTCATCATCGGGATGAGCAACAACTAAAAGAAGACGATAACGATTTTGTTGAAATTGTATTGGAATAAATGCTTGGTTTTTCGATAAAATAAGTAAAAGCAAATAAATTATCATCGGTATAGAAACAAATATTATGATGATAAATAACAATTTATGTGTACATGTACAATGATATAATCGAATAAAAGGTCGACTGTTTGATAAGCGATATGTACGTTTATATTCAGAAGTATCAAGAAGTAATGCTTCACTAATTTCATCTAATTGATGATTAAAATATTTTTGTTCATTGTACCAAAATTTTTTAAAATGTTTTCTTATTATATTCATTATTTAATCTAGAAAAAAGAAAAGTATTTATTTTTTATTCACCTATTTTCTTTTATTTATAATTGAAAATGTTAGCAAAACAAAACAAAAATTATAAAAGATTGGATGGATTAAATTTTCTTTATACATTATCAAATAGTGTTTTTAAAATAATAAAATATCTTCGTTTTGTTTTTTTTGCATTGTTCTTCTTCGATGAAATAAGATAAATATAATAAGAATAAATATTAAAAAAATAAATGAAACTAATTCTCTATAATGAATTAGTCTTTTTATCATGTGATCTACTATTTTAATAAATGATGCATCATTAGAATGCCAACTACTACTACCATAATGATGAAATAATGGTGTTGATATTCGGCCACTTAAACGATGTTGCTTATAATCTAAGAGTTTTAGATTACATCGATCATTATAAAGTGAATATTGTGCTGATATATACATACATCCGGTTGAAAACATAACTGTAGCATAAGGTACAATAAAATTACGATTAAATAATACTAATTGATCAACAAGAACTTTCATAAAGGGATGACGAGGTGAAGCCATAAGAAAACCATTTGATATTCCAACAGGATAAGCAGCAGGTGAAATGAATTCAAAACGACGAAGAGGTCCTAATGAACGACGACAATGAAGATCCATGTCAAGAAAAATGCCTCCATAATGATAAAGAACAAAATAGCGTAAACTATCAGCACGTTGTATTGGATACCAATAATTTTTCCATGTTTCCAAAAACCATGGATATTCTTCTTCAAGAAGTTTTTTAGCTGATGTATCAGTCCAAAATTTATATTCATAATTTGGATGCCATTTCAAACAAGCTTCTCGTGCAGCTATCCATTTTGGATGTTTATTTAAATCAATATTACCAACAACAATATGATGTAATATAGGTGGTACTACATTTGTATAATTTGGCATAGTTGATGTTTGATTTAATGGGTAACTAGACATTGTCGTATCAAAATTATCATTAGAACTTATTACTCCAGATGAGAATCGATACCAAGTTAGATATGTTTGAACAATATACAATATGGTTAAAATATTATAACGAAAGATGAACATAAGGAGAACTAAAAGTAATATCCATGAAAATGAACGAGCATGTGTTGAACGCAGAAATGTTAGAAAATGATGTAAAAATGTTTTCAAGTACATTAAATAAAATATAATTTTGTAGAAAAAAAAATCGAAACAATTATAAATAATTATAAGATATCGTTATTAGCCGTATGATCGTATCTAAAAATAGAAGTTTTTAAAAACATAGTCAGATAAAATAATGATCCATTGATATCAAAACAACCTTTTATGTCATAAATGTGATCACAAATATTTCACGTCTGATCAAATAATGCTGTACTCACTTTTTTTAGTACATTATACACAATAAACGCTCAGAATGCAACGAGTTTTCTTCAAATCATGATAGCATCTTTATCTGATAAGAAAAACAATACTAATTTAAATAAAAGAAATCGTTTAACTTTTTTTGTCTATCCTAATAAGAAGAAAATATGTATTCATAGCTCATTTACGTACTGTTTTTTGTTCATTTTTTTTCTGTTTGCCCGGTCAATCATCTATTGTTTTTATCCTCACTACACCTCATTGATCCTTTCATCAACGAGGAACATTGTATTTTATACTAACAAACATTTATAGGACATATATCAATTGTTACGTCGCAACATTGGTGAAGAAAAACTGAAAAGAATCTATTCTACGAATGAATTACTTATATATAGGTATCGATTAAGCAAAATAAGAAAGTTTTGGAGTGAAAAACGTATTAAATGAGTAGAAGTCAAACATATAGGAACCCGTGATTGTCAATTGCTCATGTTCATGAATATAATACAGACAGTGCTGATAACCAGAAAACCTTGATTATATTCGGCTTGTCAGAGCTTTCTTTTTGACGATTATTTGATTTCTAATAAGTTAATATTTGTAATCGGAAGTCATTATTTTATTGTATGTCAGTTATGTCATTTTTGCCAATCATTAAATGCTTACTTACATCTCTACGCAACTATTTAACATTTATTTTTATATTTCTATTGTTTTGCATATCATTATCATGGTTAACATGATAGAGTTTAAATGGGATATACATGATCGGAAATCAAGTACAAGTAAGATATGATCCTTTCTTAATATTGAATACGAAAATTATAAATAACGTTCCATATGTTAAAACTTAAAAGTTGAACTTTATAGCTGAATATCTGAAATTCAAATATTCAGACAATGACAGAAATATACACAAAGAACGTTTCTCTTTTTCTCTTACTGATAGTGACACAAAACATCCAATAAGAGTAATGAGTAAAATTTTGATTTGTTGAAACTGGAATAACTGATTCATTTTTCTCTTTAAATACAGTTCAACTAGTTTTACTATATGAAATATTCACTTGTCTGTGAATGAATAGTGCATAGTTGATTTTTTCATCGTTAATTAATTCAGTGAAAGATTCAAATAAAATTTCTGAGTATGTCAAAGTGACTTAACATCAGATATAAGGAACAATAAGGAATGGATCTCAACGAAAAATCTGAGTTAGATTCACTTTGATTATTAACGTTTGACTTTTATAATATTTCACTTTTGAAATTTGTAAATATTCGATATTCAATATTCGTATGATCATGTCATATAATAAGTTCATAATACTCAAGTAAACAAAGATCGGAGAAAAAGGGTGTAAACATTTTTTAAAAAAAGTGACTTTTTGAGTGTTTTCGATAACCGTTATGTGCTTAGGTAATATCAAAGTACACTGATAAAATCGTGAGTAGAGAAAAAAAACAGTATGAATAACGAGAAAAATATTTAGAAAACTTAGAAAAAAAAGAACTTCTTTTTATAGACGAAGTTATGTTTTGAGAATAGCAAACTACTTTCTTTGTTATCCATTTTAGAAAGCAGAAGATTTACTAGAGAAAGCTTACCTACTTTAATTACCTGTGCAAACATAAATAGAACTTGATTCATTATTGAAGTTGAAGCAGATGCGATGCAATATGTTGATCCAAGTGACGTTTTACAATGATAAAAAAACGTTAGACGAGAACTCAATGTTTTTTTCAATACTATGTTTGAATGATTTCCACCACGTTATACTGAATGCTAAATCAAATATTTGAATTTTTGGTGATAGCAAATAATAATGCAAAGTAGTAAGCTACAAAGACACGTTTTTTTATTTGATATAAACATACACAATAACGTCTGTTGGAAGTAAATATGTGATAGATATAGAAAAAAAATACAGACCTTGACAAAAGTCTAATTTGGTTTTTAAAATGATTTAATTAATAATCATATTTAATTGTCAGATAGTTATCATAAAGTTATTGCAAAACTAGTCAAAAATTAAACTGTATAAAATAAATCTTTCAAGTTAGATAATTCTCAACAAACTATTAATCAACAAGATTATTCGTTGTTAAAATATACTAATTGACTTTTATATATTGTTTTCAACGTGCATAGTCTTGTTGTGTAAACTTCAAGTCGATGATAATTCAATTCAACTTGAATGAATCGTTCAAAAACATGAACCTTGTCGAAAGATATCATATACTTTTTATACTCTTAATGACATACGCGAATGAGCATAATACAAAAAAACTTAATTTTAATATCTCTAAAAATGACAAAGTACATCATAGTAAGTCACAGTCTGAACGTTCAGGGGTTTTTTTGTATGTTAATGTCAAAAATAACTATTAGTTTTACTCAAACAACAAATTGCAAAAGTACAATACGATGACTCATATTCAACTCTTATTCATCTGTGAAACGAATTGCAATACTTTTTAGTGTACATTTCAAAAACCGAGAATATACAAAAAAAAAGAAACAAGATTTTGCAGCTATACACTTTCGACTCATTTTGCATCACAATTACAAAGAAACGTTTTAAAAATCCTATGATTTTGATGCGTTTTTTTCGGCTTGTTCAAAAAACGTACAAAAAATCGTGTTTTAGCAGATTTTTTCTCAACTTTTCCGTTTGTTATCTACTTTTCTTGTGCGTTCTTCTGTCCAATTTCATCAGATTTTTGCAGAAAAGTGGTTAAGCAGTTATTTTCATGAAAAAACGCTGCTTTTACCTAAAATATTGAAAAGTTTTTTATCCAATTTTTTTCATCGCTGATTAGATTTTCCTTTTGGTCTTTGTAATGTATTTCAATACAAGAAATTCATTTCAATTTAACTGATGCTAATTGTCGTATATATTGTTTCCAATCTACATTTTAATAAAGAATGATTAGAAAAATTACAGTTCAGAATTCCATTGGGTGACACTTATAGTGATTGTCATTCTGAGAAAAAAAAAGTTTGCTATAGATAAACGCCATACGACTGGTCTACTTCAACATACAGATGCAAACATTCATCATGAAAAACATTTTAGCATAATTACATAGATCTACTTTCGGACGTATTTGATTAAAATATATACAAAAAAAACATATATTTAGACTTTTATTGAGTTTAAAAGTTACTTCTTACGAAAATGATCACGTTTCAATCTCTTGAGTAACTCTCTATAAACAAAGAGTTAATCGATAAACACTTAATTTCTAAAATAGAAGTAATTACCATAGATGATTTTGCCACATCATATAGAAAAATGTGTCTGCGCAACCCTCTCTGACACTATTTCTGGTAGTTTTAAAATTATTACCGAGGACGACAAGAGTTCCCATCGAGAGAAAGAGAGGCGCAGCTCCAATACACTCGCATGTGGTGTCACCATTAATATTTATAAAAGGTGTAAGCTTTTTAGTGAAAGGATACGTATATTTTCTTTTTATAAATGGCCAATTTGTAATGATAGAAGATAGATACATCTTTCATACATGCACTTTTTCTCACGGAGATGTCATCTTGTAAGAATAGAAGAATTATATTTTTGATTTGTGTGAATGGGTTGATTATTTTTTCCATTTAATCTTCTAATTTGAAGGCGGAAAAATATTTTTCAATATATGAATTTGTCTTTGTTATTGGTCTACAGATTGACTAGGATGGAGGGATAACATTTTTTTTTTACAGAAGGTACGAATCTTTTTCTGTAGCTAGTTCATGACACTTGAAGATAGACGTTGCTTGTTAAAAATTTTACTTCTTTACTAGTGTAAGATAGAAATTTATTGCTTGATAAAAATTCATTTTTTTATAATAGTCAAATAATAGAGATAGAGATAAAAGTACACTTATTAAAATACATGCATTAACAAGCTTATAGCGATAGAAGAGAAACCTCTGTATTTTTTTATTTATACATGCATAGTTTTTCCTTTAGGTACTCAATTCTTCACAAAAGATAGATATCTGGTACTCAATAAATAAAATTTTTTTATGATCAAGCAGTTATGCAGATGAACCAATCAGAGAGAGTAGGACTTGTCAGATCAGAAAAAAATCATGCGTGTCTGAAAAATATATATCAAGTCATATTATTAGGTGCATGCAAGACCTTACCGACACATAGGTTCTCCCAAGTTCTTATAACAATATCTTACAAGCAAGTAAGATCTTGCGCGCATCTTACAATATGACTTGATGAGTACCTTGCAGAGGACTCCGATTTGTCATACGATTTTCATGAGATCAACGGTAAGATCTTAGTATTGAATTGCTCGCTGTGAGCAGTTCATAGTGGTAAAAGGATAATTACTTATTATCTAACACAAGTCTGCTTTTTTTATCAAATATTTCGTTATGAGAATAGAGATGCATCCAAATGGTGTTTAACTGCTTTCTCTCTTTTTTAATGAGTAGTTCATTCATAAGGTAGACAGGTATTTTTCTTCGTGTCTTCTTATCTATTATAAATTAGTTAGATGATTTTAAATCTTCACTTTCAAATAAGCTTAAAATTGTTTCTTTGTCAACTTTTTTTCCTTAATGTTGACTCAAGAATTAGTGTAGCTAGGTATACATTGAATTTAAGAATAATATTTTCACTATATAATTACTTTCTTTTTGCTCAAGTCTCATCGAGGTACTCTTTAGTCAATATATTCTAAGATCAAGTTTTCACGAAATCACATTACATATTCCATTGTATAAGATAATAAGAATTAGAATTCTAGGTCTTCACCGTAAATAGAAGAAAATAATATAACTGTTATTT